GTACCCTGATGGACTGGAGACCTGTCCAGGGTGTACCCTGATGGACTGGAGACCTGTCCAGGGTGTACCCTGATGGACTGGAGACCTGTCCAGGGTGTACCCCGCCCCTCGCACTGTGACTGCTGGATATGGGCACCAGTGACCCACGTGACCCTGAAAAGGAAGAAGCGTGTACAGAAAATGGATGGATGGATATAAGTTAAACATGGAAAATGTTATTTAAAAATGAGGAAAATTTAGTTATAAAACCAACATGTTGCCTATTTGCTGCGCCAGTTTCTCCTGATTCCCGGACCTCTTCCAAGCAGCTTTCGGATCTTGGATCCTGGGGGGAAAAAAATAAAAATAAAGTTTTCAATAAAATGACAAATAATTTAATTTCTCTTCTCAGATCAGCTGATCTGCTGGTCCTGGAGGTGCTAAGGTCCAAACAGAGTTTCAGTGTTGTTGCTCCAGGATTATGGAACGAGCTCCTTCACGGTCCACTTTTAAAACTCTTTTTTAGGCTTTTAACTCTTTTTATTTCTTAATTTTTGTGTTTGAAGTGCCTGTGATGTCAACTATTTTAATAAAAATGAATGTATTTTTGGAAGGATAACAATGATAACATAGTGTAAAAAAAGATTTTATGCTGCTGAGGTAAACAGTTGTTCAGATATTTGCATGTGAAGTAACAGGAAGTGATGTCAAAGGGGAATGTCTGCATGTGAACAGAGCATTAATGAATACAGACTGTAGAGAAGAATCTGATGTTTCTTTATATTACTTTAATCACTGTCATAGAGAGATGAGAAAGAGTCGTAATTCAAATAATATTGTTTTTAAAAACAAAAACCAGGGAGTTTTCTTTCTCAAAGAGTTCCCCTTTTATGTCACTTCCTGTTTCACTTTAACTGAACCACGATCAAAAGAAAATATGCAAATTATGGGACATAATGGGTAAAATCATGTGTATTTTGCCAAGTTATCTTAATATAAATATATTTTCTTTGACTTTTTGTATTTCATGAATGTGCATGTCACAGGCACTTTAAATGTTCTCTGTTGTTTTGTAGTCATAGTAGTAGTATTAGTAGTAGTAGTAGTAGTAGTAGTAGTAGTAGTAGTAGTAGTAGTAGTAGTAGTAGTAGTAGTAGTAGTAGTAGTAGTAGTTTTTCTACACCTACTTCAGAGGCTCTCCAATCCAGCGGAGATTTTTTCCGAGGTTACGTCCATCATTGAAATGTGGCGTCTGAATCCCAAACCTGCTGTCTTTACTCAGGCCGCCCCAGTTATATTTTCTATCAATCTGCTCACCTTGAAGTGGAGGGAAATGTAATTAATTTTGTTTAATTTAAACACACATTAAGGACTGCTGACAGTAAAACTGAAGGTTGACACTTCTTACCAACAGAGTAAGAGTTGTGGCTCCGGATGAAACCTTCATTTCCCTCCTGAGCTTCCTGTTCGTTGTCTCCGGTTGTTTTGGGAGGATTGATGACATCACGTATGCCATGACCTGGAGATAAGTACCAGACATGTTTAAAATAATAATGTACAATGTACGTTTAACAACGTTTTGATAAGACTAATAAAATGTTTTAATTGCAGCATTTCTATCATATTAAATTTAGAAAGTATTTTTGTTTAAAAGACTTGATGTTGTACGCACCTTTAACTGTTTTCACACCAAATGTGACGTTTTGATGGTACCAGGAAGGGAGTCCAGCATGTTGGTTGCGTGACTGACCTAACGGAGCGTTCTTATTCGAAGTATAAACAGATTCTCTGAGTTCTTGCAGCTTCTGTTGTAAGATTGTCTTGGGAGGAGGGTTCAATAAACTTCCAGCCTGTTGGAATAATAATAAAAATATTATTGTAAGAAATGTTTGTGGCATTCACTGTCTTGTCTTGTCCTAAATAATACTGATGATATTATTAATAACAAACCTTATTAGCCATCCTTATTCGAGCCCACTAGATTTTAATTATATTTTTAGTTTAGTTTAGTAAATGTATTCATTTTGATTTAAAAATAAAACAAATACTATACACAACAAATAATACAAATC